CCCCCCTGCCCGTACCCGTTCTCGCCCCACCAGTACTGGAACCTGCACCATTCATTGCTCCCACATACCGCGCCATTCCCGGCCCGAAGACCACCACACATCATGTATCGGTCGGCTATGCCTTCCCCACAGCTCATGTGGCCAAAATTGTAGGCCACCATCATCATCATCACTCGCTCTTCTAACTTCCTTTGGTACAAAGAATAAAGGATTAGTTAGTTAGGGGCAAAAGGATGCTACTTTTGCGCGAAGTCAAAAGCAAACGTTACCAAAGTTATTTGCGTGTATCCCCTTACAGAGTTTAGGTTTTATTTACTTTGGCTCGATTGTTAATTTATTTATGTAAGTTTAAAATACATACATATATGTATACTATTTAGTATAGTATTTTTTATATTTATATTTTGCGTTAAGGATTACATTTGTAGTTGTTACCCATTGTATATTGTCGAATTTTTAGGACAGTAAATAAAATGATTGGTATTCCTGTTTGTACAAAGACAATCTAGAAGTAATTATTTAATTTTTTTTAGTGCTGGCTAAAATTCTAAACATACATATATACATTAGGGTGGTTCAACATTTTGTTTCCAAATTTCCAATTTTTTAAAGACGTTTTGAAACAGAATTGTTTTAATCTACTCATATTTATAATTATTTAACAAACACAGTGCTGTCTACAGGGCCACCAAAAGAAAATCCGGCACCGGTAGTCGAAATATGTGGGCCCCCATTCCCAGAAAAAATTGTTTAACGAATTTCCCACGGTCACACCACAGTACTTTTCGAAAATAGGTAGCCTTACCTTAATTTTCGTAGCACGTAAATATGCGGAGTATTTTATTTAATCACTTCGTCCCAAGAGAGAACTGCTTTTGCAGGTCAAACTTTTCAACTTATCAAAATATTTTTATTTTTCAACTTAATTTTCGGAAAAATGCGAAAACTACGCGCGGGGGAAAATTGAAGAATTCTTACCAGAGGTATTTACGAAGGAAACAATCAATTATAAAACTTAGATGAGTTTAGAGCATGATGGGACCAAATGGATCTTGACCTGGTAAAAACTTTGTACTTATCAATGATTGAGGAAACTTTAAGGTGCGTTTAAAAATGAAGACAAAATTAAAAATAAGGACGAAAATGGAGACAATGAATTAGGGTTACTGAAAGGGTAAGGAAGTTCACTGGAATTTTTCGATAGGAATCGATATAAATTCTGTCATAAAAAAATTCCATGTTTATTGAGTTATCGAAACGTATCAAATTATTCAAATTGATCAGTGTTAATTGAGGTGTCGAAATTTATAGACACAAAAAATTAGTTTCCGAAGTTTACTTATAGTTATCGAGCTATAAAAATGTATAGGATTATCAAAATTTGTCAAGTTAATGAAATTTATTAAGTTATGCAAATTTATCGTAACGCACCGAGTTCTTTGAACTTATCGATACCCATTGATTTACTAAAACTTGTGGATTTATCGAATTGAAGTTTTTGGAATTTTCAAAATAAGCTATCAAATTGACCGAGTTATCGAAATTTATGGAGGTAGTCAAAGTTTATCGAGTTGTCGATTTATATCGATATCTATACATTTTTCAGTTATCGAAATTTATCGATCCCTCTAAACGTACAGTCGTCGAAATTTTTTGAAATTAGTCGAGCTATCGAATTTTGTTAATTATCGGATTTGAAATTCATCTAATTATCTATATGTATCAAATTATCGAAATTTATTGACAAACCGGATGTATCCTGCCAAAGACTTTGAAAGATGTTAAAAATTTTAGTAACGTTTTAGTTCCAAAGCAGGAGGTTTCCGGTTAGTAAATTTTTACTTTATAAGTTGAACGACGTCCTTAATTAGAAAACATGTCTAAGATCCTAAAAAACTAGAAAACCGGTCGAATTTCGACAGTAACTGGAGCTCCTAGTTACAGTTAATCGTGGAGTTCTGAATCGAAAACCTTAGTTAATGGGATGCTCGCTTTTATAAATTTCAACCGTCCAAAGTAACGAAAATAATTTCTTTCTTACGGTGCTACGCATTTTTTTCGTTACGAATGAAAATGTTGAGCAATTTTTATATGGAAGAAAATGCACAACGCACGCACAAAAACTCCGAATAAAAATTTTGAAATTTTTGGGTGTAAAATTTTCAGGTTTGAAAGTTTGAAATGTGGATTTATTTGGTGCTGGTTATATAATTGGCTAGACTTTTTAAAGAAATAATAAACATTAAATATACAAAAGAAAGATATCCAAAGCTGGTGAAAATTGAACTTAAATTTATCAGCTGATCACAAGCTTGTTTTTATCAGTCCATCGCAGTGAGTTCAAACTAGTAATAGGAGCATCAAGAGACAACATATTGGATTAATGTTGTTTGGATACATACGTATATGTATGTCACTACACATGTATCTGCTTATACATACAGACTTGTCACTAGATTTAAAATATACTCTAAACGCAAAATATGGAACTTAAATACTTACACCTACCATAATTTGTGAGCGGTCAGCTTATGAATTAATTTGAACGAAGCACTTACTTGAGTTTTGATTTTCACTAGAGCTTGCAAAGAGAGACAGAGCAAGTCATTTGGGTACCGCATAATATCCAGAGTACAAGTTAATGTGACTAGCAGACCTGCGAGCTTAATCCTCACTATTCAAACATGTACATACGTGTAGTAATATTATTCATACGCACTGTAAAGCTTCAATACATATAAC